AACGTTTTATTAGGTTGACTGCATTGCTTTAGGCATGATTAAATACACACAATCTTCCCAGGCTTAATATTCAAATTAAACCTTTGATTTAATTTCAGGTTGCTAGTCTCTTAATTGCTGTGGGGAAATCTGATCACTAGAAAGGAAATTAGGTTTTTTTTTTTTAGATTTTTGTTTTTTTGAAATGTTTATCTTGGCTTTTTTTTACATACTGTAAGTCAAGAGATTGTTTGAAGTATGTTTTGTTTAGAGGAGTCATACTAAATCTTTGACATTCCTTTTCGAAACACTGCACACATATTGTTCTTTCTTTCTACAAAATTAGGGGTGAGTTGAAATATTTTAGTAAATTAAAAAGTGATGTAAATCCAAAGTTCATGCTTTCATAAAATGTCCGTTCATTGAAATATTAAATTCATAATATTTTAACATATGGTATGAAATACAGACCCACAAGTAAAGGATGATGTACAATGAGCTGGTAATTACAAGCCCCAAGCCCCAACATGGTCTTCTATCACCCTAAAGGAATCAGTGTAGCCTTACCACCTTAATGAGAGGCTTGACACATTGTGCAGGCTTTTTACTCATTGTCCTTGTGGGTCTCCAATTGTCCATGAAAAACATACCATCCTCACTGTCCCCTTCTGCCTGAACGGCAAATTAATGCTGCTCTGAATTAAATCATATCTCTATTGCATTAAATTACAGTCAATTTCGGTATGCTGACAGTATCGTTCACTACTTTATAGCCTTCATTAAGAGAGAGGTTAGATGTTAAAGGGTAAAAAAAATGTCTGGTGTTGAGCATGGACACAATTGTGTTGTTATGGACTAGACTAGAGAAGAGAATAAGATTTTACTAGTGCAATACTGCAGCATTTCATGAGGACTGACGAGGTGAAACACTTCCAAAGACTTTCTCAAATAGTTTATGTCAGTGTTTCATTATTTACATAATTATATAATTTGACTGGCCTCTCAAGTTCATTTGTTTTTTTTTTATAAACACCAATAAAGCTGATAAAATCCGATCAACCCATCACAGATGAGAGATGTGTAATCTAAATTGCTGTGGTCAGTGTGATTATTAATGCATCCTGCGGTTAAATTTCACCATCCATTTATTAATTCATCACCTAAAAGCAAAGTATTGATTTTTCTAATGGTTTTTCAAATCTGTAAAACACTCAGTGGGGTAATTAAAAAAAAAAAAAAAAACATGGAGCTCTAATAAATAATGTGGAAAGGAACAGAAGTTGCTATCCTCTGATCCACACGGGAGAATTGGATTGATTCCACAAATTGATTTTTCCCAGATGGAATTTTGAAAGTTTGTTAAGGAACAGTAATTATTCTAATTATTCTAATTATTATGCTGTTACAGTAAAAAAAAATTACATAGAGAATATGAATACAGATGCATAAAATGTTTGGTTGCAAATATTCTCTTGATTTCCATTGCTGTGTTTGCCGTACAAAGAACAAAAGTATTGCTCAGAAATAAACCACCCTTTTACGTGTATAATTACAAGGAACCAGTTTGATAACTTGCAAACCTAAAAGTTAAACGAATAAATCAAGGGAAAAGGATGCATTTGACAGTCACATTTATTGAAACAAAGGAGGCAACTCATGAGCGTGAATAACAGGACGGGCTGTAATTACTGGGCTATAGGCAGTGTGCTGCATACATTTGTGTCAGCTCAGAGACAAATGCCCCTTTTAGTACATGTCATAAGATTCTTGTGTCAGGACGTGCCGGTGCGCATATAAATCTAACAGGTCCATCTTCTAGACTCCATAATTACATGAAATGAAGGAATTAGTGCTTTCCTACACAGCAGTCCCAGTGCCCCTCTATTTCTCAACCGCTGTGGTGTGGCAACAGGCACCACACACCCTTTGTGTAGGAACATTGGAAATAATTGTGAAGCTGCATGTGGTTCATAAATCTACTTGGTGGTGGTTGTGAGATAATCTTTTAATTTCAAAGAGCCTCAGCACTTCTGTGACAGATAGATACATCAATAAAATTAATATTCTAAAAGCAGTTCAACTGCACTGTTCATGTGATGTGACGTGCTGAGGTTAGTGTGTAGAGCCCAACATGGTGTTTCTGATGACAAAGTTTTTGGACGCTTCAATATTTCATCATCATTTGAACTTTAGGCCCAGCCATACCTCAAATAATACATAGATCTGTGCACACAAAACTCTGGTCCCTTATGTGATGATGATAATGATGATGAAGATGAGCCTGGTCAGTGGTGATGGCGATGCTAATAGTAATGACAACAATGATGGAGATGACATAATGATGAAGTGGATGACAGTGGTGAATGATGTTGTTGGATTTATGAGAAGAACCATACAGGCTCATCCCTCAAACAGGTACTGCGATAACTAGAAAGAGTAATGATGTGTATTGTACACAATGAAATACAGTGGACTACATTCAAAAAATAATGACTGCATACACATCACCATGAAGATAATAAACAATGAGTTATGTGGTATTGGGCACAGTTTGTAATCCCTGTCATATCCTGTCGGCTTCATTATCTCGGGATCCGTGATGAATATGTCCTGCATAACGCTCCATTCATGTTTTTTTTTTACTCACAAACTGTACGTGATCATACTCAGAAATTGACTTCAAGTGAAATTAAGAAAAGGAATGAACGTGTTAAAAACTGTCAGCAGCCATTTCACCCTTTGGACCAAAACTGGTTGCCCAATTAAGCTAAGCAGGGTTGAGCCTGGTCAGTACCTGGATGGGAGACCTGGGAAAGCTATGGTTTGCTGCTGGAGGAGGTATTAGTGAGGCCAGCAGGGGGTGCTCACCCTGTGGTCTGTGTGAGTCCTACTGCCCCATGCATAGTGATGGGGCATGACACTGTCAAAGAGCACCGTCATTCAGATGAGACGTTAAACTGAGCTCCTGACTCTCAGGGGGTCATTAAACATCCCAGGATGTCCTTGGAAAAAAGAGTAGGGGTGTAACCCCGGCATCGTGGCCAAATGTGCCCATTGGCCATCATTGAAGCCTCCTAATCATCCCCATGCTGATTGTCTTCATCACTCTGTCTCCTCTCCAACAATAAGCTGGTTTGTGGTGGGCATTCTGGCGCAATACGCCTGCTGTCGCATCATCCAGGTGGTCGCATCACCTCATTCGGGGTGGTTGAGGAGATTCCCCACTTCTCTGAATAAAGTGCTTTGGGTGCCAAGAATAGTGCTATAAATATTTCGAATTATTATTATCTAAGTATTGTGTAATACATAACTTCTGATGCATGAAGATATTTTGGTCACACTTTTTAGGTGGCCTTAAATAAATAGTTCTGAATTCTGTCATTAGTTACTCACCCTCATGTTGTTCCAAACCCGTAAGATGTTTGTCCATCTTCAGAACACAAATGAAGATCTTTTTGATGAAATCTGAGAGCTTTCTGTCCCTCCATTCACAGCTATGGAACTGACACTTTTGACCCTTTAAAAAGTTCATAAATTGAGTTGGTTCATAAAGAGAAGTTCGGAAGAGACATGATTTCTTTATATGATGAACGTATAGCATTTAGGATTTTATTCAATATAAACACTGATCAGCGAACATAAACAGAAGCTCAACCAAACCAGCTTGACGAGCGAAGACAAATATCTTGCGGAATCTCAAACATGCTGCAACACCAGGGCTGCTTCTCATTTGAGCCCGTTCTCATCCCAAAGCGCCATATAGGACGCTTTTGCAAAGCACATGGCACCCTTTAACGTAAAATGAGACGCAGATATATTTGGGCAGAAGGCGCCCCCTAGTGGTCTAACCCTTACCCTACACCATACCTAAACTTAACCATAACCGAAGCGTCTCATTAGATGTTAAAGGGTGCCATGTGCGTTGGATATTTACGCTTTTGCAAAAGCGTTGTATATGGCGCTTTGGGATGAGAATGCGTTGCTCATTTCTTATTTGTGCATCCTCATTTCCTTTCCTCACTTCCTTCCCTCATGTCTCAGCTCCACCCCCTGCAGGACGCGAGGGAAGTAAGCTAGGAAAGGAAACGAGGTCGGAGGAATCGAATAAAAGCTTTTTTATATACATTGGAATTCTTGATCACTCGAGCGTCACTCCACAGTGTCATCAGCAGCGCTCAAAGGATCTGCCCTTATGTTGTTGAAGTTTGTTTTTTTAATAAATTCATAATGAATATTAATATGTCAAGCTAATATGCTTGAGCTTCTGTTTACCACAACTGATGTGTGAGTTGATGAATGTTTATATGTGAATAAAAGCCTAAATTCAATAGTTGTAATATATCTTTATCGACTTTTTGAAGAAAAGTGGTAGCTGGCAATGGAGGTACAGAAAGCTTTCAGATTTCCTCAGAAAGATCTTAATTTGTGTTCTGAAAATGAACGAACATCTGACGGGTTTGGAATGACATGAGGGTGAGTAATTAGTATCCAAATTTAAATTTGTGTGCAAACTTTCCATTTAAATACTATGTACAATGAACTTATAAAATACAATATCAAATATTTACATGTCAGTGCATTTCAATTACATTTGTTGTTACAACTTTACCCTACGTAACCCAAACTCTTACACCAAACTCTACTCTAACTCTAACCCTACCTTTACTCCTAAACCCACACTCTCAGAAAAAAGGGTTCATTGGGGTTCTATATGTTATGTATAAAGCGTTGTCACTTTAAGACATAAGTGTTGAATGAAGTCATGTGATGATGACGTGGTGATGTGCGGCAAACAATGTGATATGAATGTGAGCATTAAACACATGCAAGTGTTCCATTCCTGAATTAATGTCTATGACTCTTCTTTATTGTCCTCTGTCTTTATAAAAAGGCAAAGACACGACAAAGTGGCGACGAGGATGAAAGAACCTCTGCGTGTTTGAATTGCCGCATATAAATATAGTGAAGTGCAGAAAACAGCTGACTGGGACGCCCGAAAGACGGAGAGCTCGAAAGACGCTATGGCTGGCATTATTGGAAATATCGGACAGTTTGACGAAAATGTGGAACAATGGATCTCATACACGGAGCGATTTGAATACTTCCTGCAGGCAAATGCCATTGAGGGTGAGAAGATTGTGCCGACGTTCCTCAGTGTGATGGGCGCAAAGACTTTCACTTTGCTACGGAGTCTCGTACAGCCTAGGAAACCAGGTGAGAGCACTTATGCTGAGATTGTGGCAGTGTTGAGCGCACATTTTTCACCTAAACCGCTGGTGATAGCGGAACGATTTCGGTTTCACAAGAGAAATCAGGAAGAGGGAGAAACTGTTACTATGTTTGTTGCTGCACTGAAGAAACTTTCTGAACACTGTGAATTCGGCGATGTTTTGAATGATACTCTCAGGGACAGGCTCGTTTGTGGATTAAGAAGCGAAGCCATTCAAAAAAGGCTGTTAAGTGAAAGTAATCTCACGTTGCAAAAAGCCACTGAAATAAGTGTAGGCATGGAACTTGCTGCTAAAGAAGCACAGCATTTCAGTAGCTCAGATAAAGTTTATAAGTTGTCTGCTGACATGAGCACATTCCAGAAGTCCCCTGGCAAAGTACCTACAAATGTAACATGTTTCAGATGTGGCAAAGCTGGACATCTTGCATCTGAGTGTTGGAGTAAAGAGTTGGTGTGTCACAGTTGTGGAAAAAAAAGGCCACATAGAACGTGTTTGCAGAGGAAAACAAAATGCTGCAACACAAAAATTCAGAAAAATGCCTGGCACATCAAAGAATAAGAAGAATGTGTATACAATGCAGTCAAATTGCAAGTACAAAGAAGACACTGATTCCTCCTCAGAGGAAGTTCCTTTGAACATTCTAGCCATAGAAGGAGACTCCAAAGGCTATTGGGTGTCACCTATCATTGAGGGAGAGCCAGTGCGTATGGAGATAGACACGGGGGCAGCTGTTTCTATTGTATCAGATGCTGTGTACCACAAAACCCTAAAACATGTCTACTTAAAGCCATCCAAGATTGTGTTGAAAACGTATACGGGGGAGCCTGTGACTATAAAAGGAGTAATGGATGTGGAAGTGGAATTAAATGGTCAATCAGCAACGCTGCCTCTGTATGTGGTAAAAGGGAAATACCCAGCGTTGCTTGGACGACAATGGATGGAAAAAATTAAATTGGACTGGCTGACGGTGCGGATGGTGTCAAGGGAAAACACAGAGCTCAGGGGTGTTCTAGAAAAACATACTGATGTTTTCAAGGATGAACTGGGCACGATGAAAGACATTACAGCCAAGCTCGACATTAAGCCTGATGGTAAGGCCAAGTGTTGTAAAGCCCGTCCGGTGCCCTATGCTATAAGATCAAAAGTCGAGACCGCTCTGGAAGACCTGGTAACCAGTGGGGTCATTGTACCAGTGAGTAACAGTGAGTGGGCAACGCCTATAGTACCCGTGCTTAAAAAGGATGGTTCCATTCGGATTTGTGGTGATTTTAAAATCACAGTAAACCCTATACTGTCACCTGACCAGTATCCACTTCCTCTCATTGATGATCTGTTTGCTGGCTTGGCAGGGGGAAAGCGGTTCAGCAAACTTGATTTGAGTCAAGCCTACCTACAAATGAAAGTCGATGAGAACTCTAGGGAGTTGCTGACAATTGTTACACACAAGGGGCTTTTCAGATACCAGCGTCTTCCTTTTGGCATCACATCGGCCCCTTCGCTTTTCCAGAGGGCCATGGACCAGGTGTTAAGTGGCCTGTCGGGGGTGCAGTGCTACTTAGATGACATATTGGTAACAGGAAAAACCGAAGCGGAACATCTGAGTAATCTGGATGGGACACTCCAGCGCCTAAAAGAATATGGTTTAAGAGTGAGAAAAGACAAATGTGAGTTTTTCAAGCAGTCAGTTGAATATCTGGGTCATGTGATTGATGCTGATGGACTGCACAAGGCACCTTCAAAAGTAAGAGCTGTACTAGAGGCTCCAGCACCACAGAACACCAGTCAGCTCCGCTCGTTCATAGGCCTTCTAAATTACTATGGAAGATTCGTCAATGGATTGGCCACATTGTTGAAACCATTGCACCAACTTCTGTGTCGTAACCAGTCGTGGAAATGGACACAGCAGTGTGAGACCACTTTTCAAGAAGCTAAGAAAGCTCTGGTGAAGTCCGGTGTGCTAACCCATTTTAATCCAAAGCTTCCCCTGCAGTTAGCCTGTGATGCATCACCGTATGGGGTGGGAGCAGTGATTTCCCACATCATGCCTTCAGGAGAGGAAAGGCCAATAGCATTTGCCTCACGCACGCTGAACAAAGCAGAGAGTAAATATGCGCAAATTGAGCGAGAGGCTTTGGGAATCATTTTTGGTGTTCGGAAATTCCACCAGTATCTGTATGGCAGGCAGTTTATACTGCTAACTGATCACCGGCCTTTAACCACTATTCTTGGGCCACACACAGGTATTCCCTCTCTGGCAGCAAGCCGAATGCAGAGATGGGCACTGCTGTTATCAGCACACACATATGAAATAAGGTATAGGAAGGCAGAGCAACACGGAAACGCAGATGGTTTATCAAGACTACCATTACCTGTGACATGTCCTGAGAGCAAGCAGAAAGATATTTTCTATTTTGAGCAAGTTACAGTGGCTCCAGTGACCTCTACGCAGGTGAGAAGATCAACACGGAAGGATCCAATTCTGTCTGCAGTCATGGAGATGGTAAAAGATGGACACGTGCCTAAGGACACCATAAATTTGAAGCCGTACCTGTCTAGGAAGAATGAACTCTCATTTCATTCAGGATGTCTTCTCTGGGGACAAAGAGTCATCATTCCACCCTCGTTGAGAAAACCAGTCCTCCAGCAGCTCCATGTGGGCCATTGTGGTATTGTGCGAATGAAGGAAATAGCTCGGAGTTATTTTTGGTGGCCTGGTCTGGAGGGGGACATTGAAGGAAAAGCAAAGTCATGTCCGTCCTGCCAGCAAGTGAGAAATGACCCTCAATTGGCTCCATTACACCCGTGGGACTGGCCAGAAACTCCTTGGCAGCGTGTGCATGTGGATTTTGCTGGTCCAATCGAAGGGAAGATGTTGTTAATAGCAGTGGATGCCCATAGCAAGTGGCCCGGAACAGCTCGTCAGTGACAATGGGCCCCAGTTTACATCGCAAGAATTTGCTGTGTTTTTACAACGATGTGGGGTACAACACATTAAATCAGCTCCGTACCATCCAGCCACAAATGGTCTTGCAGAGAGGATGGTTCAAACCATCAAACACGCCTTAAAGACATCACAAAGACAAGGGAGCCTACAGCAGCGCCTGAATGATTTCCTGTTGTCGTACCGAAATACCAGCCATGGGACAACAAAGGTTTCTCCAGCTTCTCTTATGTTGAAGCGTTCACTGCGCTCTGGATTTGACTTACTGAAACCTTCTACTGTCAAAGAGGTGGTAGCGCGTCAGCAACAAAAGCAGTTTCATAGAAGAAACATGAAGGCTAAAAGCAGACTGTTCCATCCTGGACAAAATGTTCTGGCACGCAACTATACTTCAGGATCAAAGTGGGTACCAGCGACAGTGATAGCTCAAACCGGCCCAGTGTCATATACTGTACTAACATCTGATAAGCTTATCTGGAAAAGACACTTGGATCAGCTTTTGCTGGGATCTGCTACTGAGGTAGAGTCTGCTGTTGGCACACCTACTGTTTGTTCGGACTATCCAATGGTTCCAGAAGTGACGGTGGATACACCTCTTACACCAGAAAAAGGACCTGCGCCACCCGAGCCTGAAAACAGTCCACAGAAGCAGAACTTGGAAAAACAACCAGACTCAGGATCTAACATATCCGTTTCGGAGTCCATGTCAAATGCAGAACGCCGTTATCCCACTAGGGAAAGACGCCCACCTAAAAGACTTGACTTGTAGTGAATAAGAAAGAAAAAAAAATGACATTATGCTTTGGGGGAGGGGAAGGAGTGTTATGTATAAAGCGTTGTCACTTTAAGACATAAGTGTTGAATGAAGTCATGTGATGATGACGTGGTGATGTGCGGCAAACAATGTGATATGAATGTGAGCATTAAACACATGCAAGTGTTCCATTCCTGAATTAATGTCTATGACTCTTCTTTATTGTCCTCTGTCTTTATAAAAAGGCAAAGACACGACACTATATATGAAGCATAGGGTTATTTACTCCAAATATTCATTACAGTGAGGTGGTCTTTCTGCTTGACCTTAGGCCTGTCGCACCTCCAACGGCGCCTGTGGTGGACTGTGCATGGCAGGGGCGTCCTCTTCCCTGAGCCGGGCCTAGACCTGACTGCATACCGCAAGGTTTTGCTGCAGGGTCTTCAGCTGGGGACCACCGCTCATTGACGTTTCGCCCCTTAGCCCAGAACATCTCCTGGTGGCGGGGCAGTGAACAAGGACGTCTCCCTGTCACCCCCTGCAGCAAAACCTAATTAGATGTTACTCCCCAAGCCTTATCTCGTCGTTTCAGCCAGAGCCAGTGGCTTGCTTTCTCAGCTTCTTCAGAGAGCTCTTTGGTGGATCTACTCAGTGTGGCTCCCCGTAGTCCCAGGTCCTTGAGCAGATGTGACGTTGATCTGCCCACAAAGCCTCTGGCTCCCACCTCGACCGGGTACAGCCTCGCACCCCATCCACTTTCTCTGCACTCCGCGACCAGATCTGCGTACTTCGCCTTCTTTCTCTCGTAGGCTGCTTCCAGTCCCTCCTCCCATGGCACTGTCAGCTCGATCAGTATCACAGACTTCACAGCTGCAGCCCACAGCACCACATCTGGTCTTAAGGTGGTGCTGCATATCTCCTGTGGGAACTGGAGCTGCCTTTCCAGGTCTACTTCCATCTTCCACTCTGCCCCTGGTGTTAACAGCCTGGAAGGTGGTCTCTTACTGGTATGCGTTGCGGGTTCCCCCTGCCTGAGGAAGCGGATCCTGCATCAACTCTCTGATGGACTCTTGTTGTTTGCCTCCTGCCGACTTTTCTCCAGCACTTCGGCCAGCTTTCTGAGCACTTGGTCATGCCGCCATCTAAATCGACCCTGTGTCAGTGCTGTTTTGCAGCCTGACAGAACATGCTGGAGTGAGGCATTGATGGTCCCGCAGAGGTCACAAGATTGCTCTATTCCAAGCCATTGGTGGAGGTTTTTAGGGCTTGGGAGTGTGTCGGATGTTGCCCTAATGAGGAAACTGAGCCGAGCCTGTGGCAGTTTCCAGAACTCTGCCCAGCTGATTGCTCGGCTTGCGACACCCTCCCAAGTTGTCCACCGCCCCTGCTGCCCCTGTGCCACAGACCTCACTCTGAGCTCCTCCTGCTCAATTCTAGTGACCTCTGCAACAACAAGCTCCTTCCTCTCCTTCCTGCTTGCCTTGGACCATAGGATAGGTGGCTCGCTCCATCCGAGGCCTGCCCGCCCTGTCTGAACCATGCCCACGACTTCTCGATGTTGCAGTCTTCCCATGACCTTCTGTACCTCCACCTTAGCCCTCCATTTCCTTCCAGTTTCAACTCTGACATTTGCTTCAGCCACTGCCCTGTCGGAGGAGTCCATTAATTCCATCACCAGCCTTGCCTTCTCCTACCTGTAGCCCAGGATGATGGATTTCAGGGGTAACTGGAGGGAGTTCCATCCATACAGACCAGCAGCTGAGAAGCACCGTGGTAGACCGAGCCATTTGCGGATGAAGGTGTTGGCTTTTGCTTCCATCTGGCCTACGGCGGATGAGGTGACTTCACACAGCTTCAGGGGCCACATCACCCTTGGGTACAGGGTGAAGTGATAACACCACACCTTGTACTTTCCAGGTAGCTGGCTTGCATCGATCTTAGACAGGCCTTCTGACAGCTGCCGAAGGATGATTTTCCCCATATCCTTGTCTGAGAGACCAGATGTATAAAGTCTTCCCAGGCTTCGGATGGGCTGATCCACGATGCGGGGGATGTCTTCCCCGCTGATGGTGAAGGTGACCCTGTCATTTCTCTCCCCCTTACGCAATGAGAGGCTCCTTGACTTCTGCGGCTTGAACTTCATCCTGGCCCAAGTGATTAACTCATCCAGCCTCTTAAGCAGCCTGGATGTGCATGGGGCGGTTCGTAGCAGGCAGGTGATGTCGTCCATATAGCTCCTTAGAGGCGGGAGCCTCTGGCCTGCAGGCAGCCGGACCCCACCCACCACCTGCCTTGCCCCGATCAGGATGACCTCAAACGCTGCCACGAAGAGGATTGGGGAAATGGAGCATCCCATTGCGATCCCTACTTCCAGTTGTTGCCAGCCAGATGTGACTTTTTTCAGTGCAAAGCACATGTGCATGTCCTGGAAGTAGTTTGTTATCATGCTTCTTATGTTGTCTGGGATGTAAAAGAATTCCAATGCATAGGCTATTAGCAGGTGTGGCACTGACCCATAAGCATTGGCTAGGTCTAGCCATATGACGTGTAGATCTCTCTTCTCCCTCTTAGCGGTCTGGATCTGTTCCCAAATCATGGAAGCATGCTCTACACAGCCAGGGAACCCTGGAATCCCGGCTTTCTGGCAGCTGGTATTGATATAGTTGTTCTCCGTGAGGTAGGTGGTCATTCTTCTCGCCAGCACGGAAAAGAAGATTTTCCCCTCCACATTCAGTAGAGCTATGCTCCTGAACTGCTCAATGGTCTTAGCGTTTTAGAACCTTTTATGCTAAAAAAGGGTCTCGCTGTTTGTCAATAATATGAAATATTTAACCCGGAAAGGACAAAACAAATCATAATGAATGAACCCAAAAGGTTCCATATAGGAACTTTTTCCTACACTGTAAAAAGTGAACAGTTGGATCAACTTAAAAAAATTACTTCAATTGGTAACACCTAAAAAAATTAAGTTCTCTCAACTTAAATTATCACGTTTTCTCAACTTAATTTTACTAGGTCAATCACACTTAAATTATTTGAGTTCATTCAATCCTATTATTTACATTAGTCTGACTTAATTTCACTGCATTCCAACTTAAATTTATTAATTTTTCCTACAGTTGGATCAACTTAAAAAAATTACTTCAATTGGTAACACCTAAAAAAAATAAGTTCTCTCAACTTAAATTATTTTATTTTCTCAACTTAATTTCAGGTCAATCACAGAAGACTCAAATTGCTGGAGAAATATTTATTAACATTAATTCATTTTATACACCATCGGTATTTTTCATATTACAAACTTTGAGAATTTTTTTACAAACATTTGTTGTGCCAATGAAATTCCATTTACTGACACACTTGTTCCATTAACAGTTTTTTTGCAAAGTTGCCTTTGCACTGAATTATGCTCAAAACTGCATAAGCCAACATATTTATAAAAATAAATATAAAAACATAGTGGTTATGCCCTTAAAGGGTTAGTTCACCCAAAAATGAAAATTAAGTCATTAATTACTCACCCCCATGCTGTACCAACCCCGTAAGACCTTCGTTCATCTTCGGAGCACAAATAAAGATATTTTTGAATAAATTTGAGAGCTGTATCACTACCACATAGACTGCCGGGACTGGCTCTTGACGGCCCAGAAAGTCAATGAAGAAAATGTTTAAATATTCCATGTGACTACAGTGGCTCAACTATAAGTTTATCAAGCGACGAGAATACTTTTTGTGTGAAAAAACAAACAAAAATAACGACTTTATTCTACTATTCCTTTTCTTCCTTGTTGGCCTGAAATGACACTTCAATACGATTTCCACGACGCATGCGCGTGAACTGAACTGAAGTAGTTGAAGGAGATCGCAATTCTCGCGCGTGCGTCGTGGAAATCGTATTGATTGGTAGTTATACAGCTCTCAAATTTAATCAAAAATATCTTCATTTGTGTTCCGAAGACGAACGAAGGTCTTACAGGGTTGGTACAGCATGGGGGTGAGTAATTAATTACTTAATTTTCATTTTTGGGTGAACTAACCCTTTAAATGAGCCACCTAAAAACAATTAAATGGATAGTTCACCCAAAAATGGTTCAAGTTGCTCCAAACCTGCATGAGTTAGTTTCTTCTGCTGGACACAAAAGAAGATGTTTTGAAGAATGTTGGTAACCAGACAGTTGACTTCTGAATTGTTTGACTGTTGACTTCCAAAGATACAGGAAGTCAATGGGTGCCTTCAATTGCCAGGTCACCAACATTCTTCAACAAACCTTCTTTTGTGTCCAGCAGAAGAAACTAACTCATGCAGGTTTGGAACAACTTGAACCATTTTTGGGTGAACTTTCCCTTTAATCTTTCAAATAGAACCATACTGTATGAGAAGAGCTTTACAGGTAATGCCCTAAATTTAAAGTGAATCAATCAGATTCAAACAAACAACTACACATTCATACTAGACGTATGAATGAACAAATGGATAGTCTACAAACATAAGAAAACAAATTAAACATCCAACATTCTTTCAAACACAGACTAGACATATGCACATTCAAACATTACTGCAAGTTCACTGTTGTCTACTGAAAAGACTTTGAACTTTTAGTGACATCTTTTGCTGTTCAAGCTGCAAGAGAACTTTCTGGAATACCTCGAAAGTAAAACGAAGCGGTTTTGGGTAAGCCAGATTGATGATGTATATCATCCCGAGAAGCAAGGCACAAGCTGATGTGAACGAAGGCAGTTCATTCAAAACTTTAACACCCTCGATGACGACACCTATGTCAGCCGGTGGTTCGTGATGTTCTCCCCCCTCCTTCCGAATAACATACACCGCCATGGTGAACTGCTCCAGCTCACCCTCCCAATCATCTCGCTGCTTATCCTAAAGAAATGTACATAAAAAAAATAAATAAATAAACATTTTGCAGTCATAACTACAAAACACAAATTTAAACTTTCTGAAAAATCTAAATAGAACATGCAGAATTTCAACTCACAAGGTACTCCTTGATGAGGTCTTGAGGATTTTCGTTAACACTTTAAAATAATGGTCCGTAGTTAACAAGTAGCTATGCAGGAAGTAATAAGTAGTACTGCATTAAAGGGTTAGTTCACCCAAAAATGAAAATTCTGTCAGTATTTACTCAACCTCATGTTGTTCCAACCCCGCAAGACCTTCGTTCATCTTCGGAACACAAATTAAGATATTTAAGATATTAAAATCGCTCCTGCATACAGTCCATAGGCTTCTTGAGGGACTGGCTCTTGCTGTCCCCGAAAAGTCATTAAAGACATCGTTAAAATAGTCCAAGTGACTACAGGGGCTCAATCTAAGGTTTATCAAACGACGAGAACACTTTTGTGCGCAAAAAAACAACAAAAATAACGACTTTATTTCAACTATTCACTTCCTTCTCCATGAGCCTGTAAGTCAGTTAACGTAGTGTGATTGCGTAGAGCTACGTCACACGTAGGCTCACTATTGGCCGACGCTGGTCATGTGTGTGTGATGCGTGTGACGTACAATGACAGAAACTTACGCTATTAAACTAGTAACCTGACTCGCGCAGAGGGAGAAATAAACGAATAGTTGAAATAAAGTCGTTATTTTTGTTGTTTTTTTGCGCACAAAAGTGTTCTCGTCGTTTGATAAACTTAAGATTGAGCCACTGTAGTCACTTGGACTATTTTAACGATGTCTTTAATGACTTTTCGAGGACAGCAAGAGCCAGTCCCTCAAGAAGCCTATGGACTAGTATACAGGAGCGATCTTAATATCTTAAATATCTTAATTTGTGTTCCGATGATGAACGAAGGTCTTACGGGGTTGGAACAACATGAGGGTGAGTAAATACTGACAGAATTTTCATTTTTGGGTGAACTAACCCTTTAACACCGAAGTTAATACTATTAACTAATATGGAACCAATATTAACTAAGCAGTAAGTAATAGGTAATTTAGTACAAAGGTAGTTCCTTGGCATGGTCATAACATTTCAGAAGCATGTGCCTCAAATGGGTTCTTTGTGGAATACATTAGCTAGGTTGAGATTGTGACTACTACTCTTGCCAGGATGGACGCATGTTCTCTGTTTATTTAAAACTTAAACATAAAATAATACTAATAAAGACAGTTTTTAAAAAAATAAACCTTAAATAACTAGGAAGTGATGCTGACACTCTCATGATTGGATTAGTTTACTATTATAACTATGTTACAGTAGCTGCCTGAGGAGGACTTCTTTTTAGGACATGAATATAAACATTGATGTTCACTTGTCAAAAACAATTTGTATCTTTAATGAAGAAATTGGCTGCATTTATGTTACAATAAGCGCAAAACCACATCTTCCAGATTACAGTGTTTGTTTGATTATTAGTGCCTCACAGAACCTGTACAGTATGTGTCAAATATAAAATTAAATAACTTGTGTAAACATTGTGGGATGACAAGGTAACGCTTGTAGTTAGTTAGGAGTTAACATGTTTTTCACTTTAAAATAATAGGCCACATCACTAGTAGTTCCTGCGGGATGACAAGGTAACGCTTAAGTAGTTATTGATGAGTTAACAGGTTTTTCACAAATGAATCTACAAGTAATGTAATTTTATATTTGACACATACTGTACAGGTTCTGTGAGGCACTAATATTCTAACAAACACTGTAATCTGGAAGATGTGGTTTCGCGCTTATCGTAACATAAATGCAGCCAATTTCTTCATTAAAGATGCAAATTGTTTTTGACAAGTGAACATCAATGTTTATATTCATGTCCTAAAGAGAAGTCCTCCTCAGGCAGCTACTGTAACATAAAGTTATAGGTCTTTGGAGTCTGAGATATATGTGACTGACATTCAATAGAGCTCATAATAGTGAACTAATCCAATCATGAGAGTGTCAGCATCACTTCCTAATTATTTAAGGTTTATTTTTAAAAACTGTCTTTATTAGTATTATTTTATGTTTAAGTTTTAAATAAACAGAGAACATGCGTCCATCCTGGCAAGAGTAGTAGTTCTCAATGAGGATATATTTCTTTAGTAATAATCAAATACCTACCAAGGAACTACCTTTGTACTAAATTACCTATTACTTAATGCTTAGTTAATATTGCTTCCATATTAGTTAATAGTATTAAGTTCGGTGTTAATGCAGTGCTACCTATTACTTCCTGCATAGCTACTTGTTAACTACGGACCATTATTTTAAAGTGTTACCGGATTTTCCCCAGGAAAACGATGAGGGCCTTCAGGACACTCTTCTTTCCGTGTGAATGTTTTCAGTCTGTGAAAAAGCATTTGTGATTATTTTTCTTATTTTTAAAATTTGGAGTAATCTGTAATGGAGAATCAGATTTCCCCAAGGATAGCAAAGGACAAGAAAATATAAACAAAACTTAATTTACAAAACTATAAAAGGTTGTATTAATGACTGGACAAAGTATATACATCACAGAAGTATAAAAAAAATCATTATTCAGATATAAACACTGATGTCTACGTTACCGTTCAAAACAGAATTTTTTTTTAGGTTCACCTCAAAGAACACACACAGAGAAGTCAAAAATTAAAGATGATTGAATGACTCATAAATGTAAGTACACATTGATGGCCTAAGAAACGAAACAAGCGGTTTGTGTGAGAAAACGAACAGTATTTATATCGTTTTTACCTCGTGTAACACAGCCATGTCAAACTGAACTGACGAAATGGGCGCTTCGGTCTGCGCACGAGCCGGAAGTGATCGCTTGCAAGTCAACGTCACTCATTGTTTACACAGAGATTTCAGAAGTTTTACCTTTCACTAAACATATTTAGATATATCGAAACAATCTTCCATTGCATTGCATGCTCTTTGAGGTGGTGACCATAGACCTGCATTATATGACTGATAGACAACGGTTTGACCGAAAAATATCAAAATTGAAAATTACTGTTGGAAACAAAGACATCTTGGATGCCCTGCCTTGAGGTAAGCTAAAACACACCAAAAATTAATTTCAAAGTGAACTATTCCCTTTAAATCAGCCAGTACTTGTGCACCTTTTACATGCACAATACATGTCACATCATAATCATTTTGAGCTTCAAAATTGGTTTACACTGTATAAACTAACTAAAAAAAGATATTTCTGAGAATCAAAAAAGGCACATGCATTCGGGATGTCATAAGGGTGAGTTGATGCCAATTTTAGTTCTTAATTCTTTTAGTTTTAGTTCAAAATTCTTAATTAGGATAAAATGCAAGTCAATAGCATTAGACAACATTAGATGGAATTTACTCAAACATGTCCAACATTAGTAATTCATATTATCTATTATCAATAGAAGAAATTAGAAATTACTTAAATTAATAGAAAATACTTACCATGTAATGTTATAGCAAAGTGTCGTCCTCAATCGTCAAACTTGAAAAAGCTTTCGGTCATAAGGAGAGAAAAATGTTGTATCATTAGTATTTAACTTAAGTGGTAAAAAATAGTTTGCTACAGGTCAAGTAATTAATTAGTTGTGAAATACTACTATTTTCTACAAAAAAAATCATAATTTTAAAGAAAACCCCGATTTGTTTTCCTGCATGAAACACCTCGAGCTAGGCAAATTAAGCTAGCGTTAAGCACAGGCCACAGATCAGGGAATCAGGTAACGTTAACGTTAATAATGGGCTGACTCCCTGATCAGTGCCCTGGTTAACTTAATGAACTGATTGAGATGCACCCAATGGCGTTTATCACAGACTTTCAGCATCATTTTGGGCGAAAAAAGTCGATGAATAAGTCAGAGCTAACGTTTCAAAGACAAATAAAATAACAGACAAAAAATAAAACTCAAATATTGTACTGCAGGAATTCAAATTCGAGCATTTTGTCCCGCTCCCCGAGCACTTCCCGCCCAAAGCATTTCCAATTTCTCACGCGGCACAGACGGTTATCCTTTTTTAAACTATTTAATAACTGTTACACAAGTCCCAAGATCCAAACTGAACACATTTTTATAAAACAAACGAGTTAAGTTAAAGATAACATCATGTTTAACGTTAACTTGCATAGAACTATTCAGTAATGCTAGTTTGCAAACGTACGTTTAAAAATGTGGTTAATTGCGATTTTGTTAGTATTCATGTTCACAAACAACATTCATTAACTCATAAACAACTAAAACAAACGTCCAAAAGTTGCATATTTGAGTATATTAATTAAAAAACAAAACTTCCAACCTACCTTATTCACCCGAGTGCGAAAAAGAAAATGGCGGTCGAGCAGAAAGTTCCAGACAGGCTCGTGCGTCATGACGTCAGCAAAAAACGTCTGACGCGAGGGTCCTTAAAGGGAAATTACACTTTGGGTGAAAGCGAGATATCTGAGTGTCTGTGAATTTCTATGCGTTCAAGTTGAATGAGTGTACAATAATCAATTACGATTAGGAAAGCAGAAATACGAAGTAAATAGACTCAAATAGTTCTAGTAATCCAACTTACACCCATATTCACTTTTTACAGTGTAGTTACAAATCACTGAACCCTTAAAACGGTTTAGAAAGCTGCTCTGAAACGATATACACACACACACACACACACACACACACACACATACGTATATACGAAGAGTTCAGATGCAAAAGCCTCTAAATGCCATTTGAAATTTTCTTCTTTAATGAGGATTTTTATCAAACTTGTTTATTTAAGTTCAGTAATTTCACTTAAATGGCAATGATAATTACATATTAATTGTTATTTAAGTGAAATTACTGAACTTAAATATACAAGTTTGATAAAAATCATCATTAAAGAAGAAAATTTCAAATGGCATTTAGAGGCTTTTGCATCTGAACTCTTATATATATATATATATATGAAGAGTTCAGATGCAAAAGCCTCTAAATGCCATTTGAAATTTTCTTCTTTAATGGTGATTTTTATCAAACTTGTATATTTAAGTTCAGTAATTTCACTTAAATAACAAGTGAAATTACTGAACTTAAATATACAAGTTTGATAAAAATCATCATTAAAGAAGAAAATTTCAAATGGCATTTAGAGGCTTTTGCATCTGATCTCTTCATATATAAACGGTTTCTGTTTAGAAAGCTTCTTTGAAACTACACTCTAAAAAATGCTGGGTTGTTTTAACCCAATTTTGGGTCAAATATGGACAAACCCAAAATTCTGGGTTAAAAATGTAATGTAAAAAATTAACCCAACGGCTGGGTTAGTCCATATTTGACCCAAAGTTGGGTTAAAACAACCCAGCATTTTTTAGAGTGTATATATATATATATATATATATATATATATATGAAAATCACTATACAAATAAATGTGAATTGAATTGAACTGAAAGAATTACAACCATGGAGACTGGCAGTAAAGCTCTATTGTAAACATGTATCTCACACCATTACAATGCTAAATTAGTTCTGATAGAACACAGAAAGACCAGTGTCTATCCCTGGACCAATTTTATTGTGTGAATGCAGGCAATCTCCATTTCGCCATGAAAAAAAGTGTTTCAGCTGTTTCCTGAACTGCACTTTGATAATATCTTATTTACTTGGGACACTTGTCTGCCAAACATGATGACTTCAAAAATGGCTGACATGCTCCGATGAGGACAAGCAGCTATTGATTTTCCATGTCATCGAAACAAAGAAAAGCCACTTATACAGTCTCCTCCAGCGATGTGAAATACCGTCATCAATGATCATTCACGGTGTGCAGGTGTGGAAGACAAACCGGTTCTCCCTGGCATCTTTCCTTCTATTCTAAGAGACAGCTTTGTCCACCTCTTTCTTCGTTTCTTGTAGCATAATAGCTAACAATTACCCATATATTGGTGAGGTCTTGCAATGGCATGATTGCTGTAACAGTCTAGTAGTCATAGCAGCATGTGCCCTCCATGGTCCATGATGTCAAAACACAGCAACATGCCCTTTAGTTTTCCCTGCAACTCTATGGTCACAGTGTATCAAAAAGAAAAAGGAATGTAAATTCCCTTGAAATTCACCGGCATAATTACTGTACATACAGTACATAATATACATACAGTGACTGTCAGTA